TCACTGCTGGTAACCTTTTCCTCCTTACCAGCTCCATCCATCTCACACTCCCAAACCCATCTAGACAAAGCTTCAGCCTCCTATTTTCCTCCTGAAGAAGTAGAACCAACTCATTAGCTTAACATAGTCTTCAGAGACACTTCTGAGTCTAACCCTTCTGTTATGTCATTCTCATATTAAAAAAATAGCACCTGTCCTAGGACCGATGTGTTTCTGATACCTCATCATGTACCGTCTTGATACCTCATCACGTACCATGCTGACATCTCATCACATACCATGACTTGTTCATGCCTTCCTGTCAGGTATTCCCTAATCCATTGTCGTGCCTTCCTGTTATACCTGCCTGATCCTCTACTTTTTGCACTTGAGTGCAGCTGTGTCGAAAGCCTTATTGCAGTCCATAAAAAGGCAGTCTTCACACCCCTCTCTTGTCTTACTGCCGTCACCTTGTCGTAAAACTCCAATGAGTTTGTAACTGTGAGGGAAAGTTCAATAGATAGGAGTAGAGATATAGTAACGATAGTTTCATTACCGGCTACTAGTTAAGGTAGGGTAAGTCAAGCTCCCGCCTTTCTTCCCCCTCCCCGAAAGTGATAGTTTCATTGCCGGCTACTAGTTAAGGTAGGGTAAGTCACGCTCCTGTTTTTCCCACCTTTTCTCCCCCACCCCTAAAGTGATAGTTTGATTGCTGGCTGCTTGTTAACGTAGGGTCAGTCTAGCTCCCACTATCCCTTCCCCTCCCTCTTCCCCCCCCCCGAAAGGTGACGTGTGGGGCTCTGGTCAAACAGTAAATCACTCGACTCACAGCTCCCAACACTACTGTAAGTACATGCCTGCCTTGTATTCTAGTGGATTTATTTATTGGTTGAAAGCGTCACTTTTGACCAATAATAAACTTAGTCCTTTCAGTCTTGGTCTAGGTTGACTGTTGTAATAATCACCACCTCTTTTGAGTGTTGTACACTGCCATGGAGAGTGATTATTTAAGCAGTGGGTAACCTGTCTATCTTTTCAGCTTGGATGACAGTGAGGGTCACCTGTCAATCAACGAGCAGAACGGATGGAGAAGGACTAACGTCCAGAGACTTCCCCATTTTGTATTGAACTACCTGTGCACCTGTATGAAATTGCAGGACGTAACCCCTCATCATTGCAGCGGTAAAGAACCTGCTTTCCTGTCATCGGGATAATAATCACGGCGATTCTCTGTGAAGAACTAGCCAGTGGTGGTCACCAACACCTGCGACCCCCCCCCCCCCACATCAGCAACGGCTAAGATTTCAACAAGCAGTGTCACCAACACCAGACACCCATGTTTTAAATTAGCATTGAATTCAGTTATCATTTATATTTTTCATTTTCTTTAATGTAGGATTAATATTTCATATTTAAGTGTTTTACATTTTATATTTTCTACATAATAAAGTGTTTATATTTCTGTTATTTCTTTTTCTATTCACTAATTTTCCTGAGGAGGAGCCACCCTGGGTAATACTGTCTGAAGTTGTTACAGGGCTGAGTAAGACTTCACAGTAACACAGGACTTCCTTTCCCTGAGATTGTCCTGGTTGTTATGCATAAGCTCATTCCTTTCTAAATGCTCCACCACTGTTCTGATAATCTTCTGCATGAATCTGCATACCATAGTTATCAGTGACACTGGTTTGTAGTTTAATGCTGCGCGTCTTTCTCCTTTCTTAAAAATTGGGACATTTGCTGTCTTCCACACTTCATGTAGTCGCTCTGTTTCAATAGATGAGTTGAAGAATGTTGTTAGTGCCACCTATAACTCCTCTGTTCCTTCTCTCAGGACCAACCGAGAGATATCTAGTCCCTCCACCGTTGAGGTATCTAGTTCACTTAGCAGTCTCTTCACGTCCTCAGTTGTGTGAATTGTCTAGCACTTGTTGGTATACCCCAACATTCTAGCTTTCTGGAGGCCTTTCTGTCTCCACTGAAAATACTTGAGCTCTTCACATACTTCTCGGTCGTTTCTTGTTAAGTTCCCTCCATTCTTCCTCATCCAGATTACCTGGTCCTTGATTGCTGTTTTCCTCCTGAAGTGGCTGTACAACACCTTCTGATCAGGCTTGGCTTTCGATGCTATCGTCGTCAAATTTCCACTGGGCTTCACTCCTTATCTGTTCATATTCGTTTCTGATTCTTCAACTAATCTCTTTGTTTTCCTGCATCCTTTAAGAACATAAGAAAGAAGGAGCACTGAAGCAGGCCTACTGGCCCATGCGAGGGAGGTCAAACTTACCCGCCCACACCCACTCATGCATGTGTAGTTTTAAAAATAGGCTACAAAAATGTTTCTGCTTTTATGACTGTACTCGGGAGTTTGTTCCACTCATCCACAACTGTTACCAAACCATTGCTTTCCTATATCTTTAATGAATCTAAATTTTTCCAACTCGAAACCAAGGCTGCGAGTCCTCTCTTGATTAGATATTTTTAGCAGGTTATTTACATTTCCTTTATGTATTCCCCTTTTCCATTTACACTTCAATCATATCCCCCCTAATTCTACGCCTTTCTAGAGTGTAGATTCAGGGCCCTCAGTCTATCCTCGTAGGAAAGATTTCTGATACATGGGATCATCTTTTTCATCCTCCTTTGAACGTTTTCAAGCGCATCTATATATGTTCTGTGATACGGCGACCAGAATTGTGCAGCATAATCTAAATGAGGCCTAAAAAACGATATATAGAGTTGAAAAATAACCTGCGGACACCTGTTAGTTATACTTCATGATATGAAGCCAAGAAATCTATTCGCTTTATTCTGCATACATATGCACTGTTGTCTGGGCTTTAGATTACTGCTAACTAGAACCCGCAAATCGCAGTCATTATTTAGTTCATAAGTAACATGGTTATATACCTTTCCAAAGCTTAGAACTTTTCATTTGTCTATGTTAAACTGCATCTGCCACTTCACCGACCACTGCATCAGTCTACTCAGATCTTCCTGTTGCATTCTAGCGTCCCCGTCAGAATGAATTCTACGGCCGATTTTCGTGCCATCGGAAACTTGCTAATGTCGCTATTTATACCCTCATCTAGATCGTTAATGTAAATTTTTCCATTCTCTAGTTCTCTTACGTTTTGGCCTCTCTACACCTTTGGGCGAACCAAGGGCTTGTTCTGGTCTTCACATTATTTCTCTTTCCCTTGGGAACCAGTCTTTATCCTGCCTGCTTGCATTTTGATGGCATGTATTCCATTATCTCATTTACTGATTTTCCCACCAGTTCTCTCTCCCATTTAACCTCGTGTAGGAAATTCCTAATGCCTTTGTAGTTCCCTCTTTTGTAGTTTGTCTTCTCCCATCCTCTTCCTGCTTCCATCTCTACTTGTAACTCAACTATCATACATAGAGCGGCCTCTCATATGTGATGTCCTCAGTGTTTGAATTACTCTGGGTAAATATGAGGTTCGGTCTTGCTCGTTCATCCTCTCTCTCTCTCTCTCCTGGTAGTGTCCCTAACATGTTGATGCATGAGGCTTTGCAGTACCACATCCATCGTCGTAGCCCTCCACGTTCCTGGTCTCCCATGTAGTTCCAGGTTTTCTCAATAAGTTTCCTTGAAGTCACTCACAACAAGAGTTGGTCTCATTATATTCTTGTTATGGCCTCCTGCTATTCTGTGGTGGATTATACATTACTGTGTGTGTTTGGTGTAAGTAACCCTGACAACTGGGAGTTAGTGTTAATATTGTTATTTTTCAAGACACGTGTAATATTAATGTTTTAAAATATATCAGGTGGCATAGGCCGTTTGTTTTCACCGATAACTTAAACATAGCCGATACTTCCCGATACGGGAAGGGGGGGGGGGGGTACTTTGGCACATCCCTGTCCAAAACAGCGGATGCTTAACCAATGGCGATCCTCTTTAAATCACTTGTTCTCTCGAGGGTAGAATAGTTGTACAATAACAGCCCCTTTAAAGATAGGTGAAACTGCATGTCTGGAGAATGCACCGAGAACCTTCACTGCACATTCAGACACTGGGAACATCTGAAGTCCCTGACATGAAAACTGAGACAAATGTGCAACATCTGGGTATCTTTATTGTAGACGTTTCGCCATCCAGTGGCTTTATCAATACAGATTCTAGGACATAATTTGATGACAATAGAACTATATACAAAAGATGAGGTAATCAGTCCCTCAGCCTTGGAGTTGGTGTGAAGAGCACCGTAGTCCTGAAGATTCTGGAGCAGAGGCAAGGAGACTTGCGCTTATACTAACGCCAAGTGGATTGGGATGGGTAGCAGACGAGGGCATAGTCACTGGTAGGCGGGATTCCCCAGTGGAAGTAGGTCATACCCAAAGGGATGGGTAAGCTGTACTAGAAGTTGTAGTAGCCGTGGAGAAGGTCATGCAGATATCCTTTAAACCAAGATTCCACGATGTAGCAGTGTCTGACAAGTTGTACAAGAATCGTATACAATACCGACAAGATGAAAACTGGACATCTACATGACCTTCTTCACAGCTACTACAACTTACCCATCCCTTTGGGTATGACCTACTTCTAATGGGGAATCCCACCTACCAGTGGCTATGCCCAGGTAGGTGAGCATAGTCACTGGCAGGTGACTATGCTACTATCTTAATCAAACCCACGTTGCAATTTTTTTTTAAGAGTGAGGAGAGAGTGAGGAGAACATCAGTGTTGACAGAGGGGGTAAAACAAAAAGAAAGAATTGGTGCAGACTGAAGTAGCAAAAAAAGAGGGAACATGTATTGACAGAACGAGTAAAGAAGGCAAAGAAAATTGTTGACAAAGAGTGTATAGAAGGTTGATGTGGTATGTGGTGTAGAGAGAAGTAAAGTACTGAGAAAACCAATTGTTCAGAAGGGAAGAAAAAAGTGAGAGAAGTTGTGTTGACACTCTGAATAAGGAAGATAGAGTTTTTCCCAGGATTAGTAAAGAATACGTGAAGTAGAGTAAGTGCAGTGTAACAAAACTTATTAAAACTTGCCTTCCTCCATCTCGTGGTCCAGGAGCACACTAGGGAGTTCATAATTCTGGCCCGGAACCGTTTTCGGGTTTTGTTCATTCCAGGGCTGGATATCGGTGGAGATGAAGACCAAATAGAAGATGTTGGAGACCAGATACGTCCCCACCGAGATGAGGAAGACGGTCCTCCAGGCACTCAATGTTTCCTGAAGGATGGGCCGTAATATTGAATATAGTCAAGAGAACTCTGGAAGAGTGAGCATGAGTGTTTTGTAAAATTAGGAAGGAGTTAATAGTATGTGAGAGTTTGGTGGAGTGACGGAATACTTGGTAGTGTGGAAATCTAAACACAAATGCAGTATAATGTGATCCTTTATTGACAACGTTTCACCCACACAGTGGGCTTTTTCAAGTCACACACGATCTAAACCCGGGTTGGAAGGTACGAGAGTATTTATAGCCAGAATGTTGAGGTCAGGTGGAGAATGCTGCATCTGATGATCTACCGGGTGGGGTTATAGAGTCTTGGGTAGCTTGGCAGGGGTATTGGACAAGTTGTAGACCTTCTGCAGTGTTCTATGTTCTTATGTGGGATAGCGATGAAGAAGTTTCTTGGCGAGTGGTTCAGCTATGTTATAGAAGCCATTGTTCTGGTTGAACCACTCGCCAAGAAACTTCTTCATCGCTATCCCACATAAGAACATAGAACACTGCAGAAGGTCTACAACTTGTCCAATACCCCTGCCAAGCTACCCAAGACTCTATAACCCCACCCGGTAGATCATCAGATGCAGCATTCTCCACCTGACCTCAACATTCTGGCTATAAATACTCTCGTACCTTCCAACCCCTTCCAAACACAAAACAAAGAAACAGGACAGCCCTGGTTGCAAAAGACGTTGAAAAAGCTTTTGACACTGTGTGGCACGAAGGGCTCAAGTACAAACTCTGCACTAACTTCAACCTGCCTCTCAATACTCGTAAACTCCTCTGCAACTTCCTAGACGGCCGTACCATGAGAATCAAATTCCAAGGCTGTTACTCTGACTACTTCACACTAAATGCCGGAGTACCCCAGGGATCTGTCCTCTCCCCTAAACCCCCTACATTTTTTTTAAAACTAACGACATTCCAACACCTGTATACCACAACCCATCACACTAGCCTATGCAGACGACATTACACAACTTATCACTCATGCCAATAAAGATACACTCACACACAAAACACAAAATGAGGTTGACAGGATAGCCATCTGGGAACAAAAATGGAGGATCAAAACCAATGCAGCAAAATCCAGCATTACGTATTTTAACTACAGGAAACGTGATCCTCCATTACCTGTCGAACTCAGAACAGCTGACACCCGCACTTACTTCCCCATCACACAATCTGTCACTGTCCTTGGCGTTAATCTTGACTACCTTCTTCGTTTACACGGACACATTCACTCAAGGCATGCAATAGCTAGTAAGGCCCTTGCTGGCCTCTACAAGCTGAAACATGCCTCTCAACGCACCAAACTACACCTCTACAAATCCCTAATACGTCCTCTGATAACTTACTCTCCTCTTGCAGCAAAAACAAACTTACTTAAACTGCAGCGTGTCCAGAACAAGGCGCTGCGCTGGGTGCTTGATGTCAGATGGGAGGACTTCGCCACAAGCGAGTCTCTCCATGCCCAGTTAGACATCCCTGCGCTGAATCTGTACTGGAAGAGGCTCAGTGACAGACAGACAAACTTGAGACACGACATGACTACTGGACCTCTCTCCTTGACGAAGACATTCGCAGACCCACAAACCAACACAACCTTTTCTACTCCTTGCATGATCCTGCTCCTAACCCTACTTACAAATAACCTTGGATCCGCTGACAGGTACCTTCTGAGACAGGTATCATTCTCTGACCCACGTTCGCCTTAGCATTTTTGGGTTAAGACATGGCTCAGTTCTGCACTCCTCTCTAGCTCTAAACGTTGCATGTCCCTTACTCCCAGCTCACCCCACCGGAGTCCCAACAGAAGAACCTGAATTTCTCTTTTCAATATCTGTCCCACGATCGCCTTTGCTGCTGGGTTAAGCCCTGGCTCTATTTCTACGACTAAGAACACTCCTCTCCAGCACTATTCTTTGTCTGTCCCGTCTTCCCCGCTCATCCCATTTGGGATCTTACCTGAACTTTCGTTCGTTCGTTCAACCCCAGGTAGATCCGTGTGTGACTTGAAAAAGCCCACTGTGTGGGTGAAACGTTGTCAATAAAGGATCACATTATACTGCATTTGTGTTTATATTTCTATTGTGTCGGTATTTTATACCATTTATTTCCAACTTGGTAGTGTGCAAGTGATCAGTGGAGTTTGTGAACACACTCACCCGTCACCCACCCAGCTACTCTTATCTCGGCCCAGCAGGTTGTTTTGAGCCTTGTACAATACCAATGACCTACATCCCAGCGGCTGCCCCGGTGTCCTACCTGTCTCAAGGGCAGGTAACTTACACACCATACACACCCACTAACTCAACCTGAACATAATCACGAGGAGCCATTCAATCAGTATCCTGTCGGCCAACATTAGAGGATTCATTACCAATGTTAGAGAGCTAACACACAGTTTCGTGAGCACTCGACATCCCGATATGATTGCTGTTATTAAAACAGTTTTGGATGACAGGACTTCAGAAAATTTTTCAAGAATTGCTGGCTACACCTTATGGATGAGAAGATACAGGCAAGGGCAATGAGGTGTTGTTGTGTGCTTCTCTAAAAGTGAACATGCACATCCTATTGATGTGGTCACCCCTACTCGCCTAGATATGATGTTCTTCAAGCTATGCACAAACACTAGTACCATTGTACTGGCATGTGCAATGTACAGACTTCAGTGGAAACATGTAGACCCCATCAGCTTCCTAATGGAAGTTGGAGTCTGCATGGGGAGTCCACATTTTCCTAATGGAAATTCCCTTCTGCTCTAACACAAATGTCGACGCACTATAATTGTTTGTGACCTCAACCAACATCTTATACAGAGGTACTTTAATTATCTTCTTGCAGTGTTTGACATGAGAAATTTTGTTGATTTACCTACTCACATCTCTGGCTCCTCTCTCGACCCAGGAGTGAGTGATCTAGCGAAAGGTATAGTCACCTGTCAATCTCTCGGCTGTTTTGGATCGTCTGACCCCCAAGGCTGTTTTTACGACACTTGAAGATCCCAATAGAAGAAGGTGAGAAGTCCACACGCACTACCTAGTTATGGGAAAGAGGTAATTGACCAGCCCTTTGCTCTGAGCTCGCCACCACCGATTGGAATGCTTTTCTCCAAGAGGATGTTGACAGCCAAGTGAATCCCTTTACTAGACACATCCTTAATCTACAAGAACACATCCCTCACCGGCAGTATGTGGCGCGACCTACAGATCAGCCTTGTTCGGCTTTCGTTGTAGAGAGGCTGCTACTGCTAAGTACAACACTTAGCGAAGGTATAAAAAAATCTCACTACCTATAACAGGAGCTTGCACAGGCAAGTTTGTAGGTATATGGGTGAAGTTCAAAAGTGGGCCGCCTCTAAATGGGAGGTTGACACAAAAAGAAAGCTGGCATTAGGTAGAGTGGGCTCCAAAACCTGGTGGTCCGGGCTGTATAGCCCTTGTGGCTTAGAGCTTCTTTTTGATTATAATAATAATAATAACCTGGTGGTCCTTGGTCGAGGACAGACAAGATTATCTGTCTGATGAACTCATTCCACCTCTAAATCGACAGGATGAGACCATCTGTACTAGTAGTCTAGAGAAAGCTGACCTCTTTGGTGCCAAGATGCAAGTTCTTGATCCAGAGAGGAACCCTCCTTGGCTACCTGCAAGAACTGTATCAAAGCTCTCAGTGGTGACTATAAAGCAGTAAGAAGTGCATTTTCTCCTTAAATCGCTAGACGAAGAAAAGGCTGTCAGCCCAGACAAGTTGAGACCAAGACTGCTGGGTAGATATACTAACCAGGTTGTAACTCCTCTAACTCGCATCTATCATCAGGGCCTAGCACATTGTAAACGACCTTCTCTGTGGAAAGAGGCAACTGTAGTCCCTGTTCACAAACAAGAAGAGCAGAGCAGAAATTAGTAACTACAGATCAGTGTTACTCCTTTCAATCACTAGCAAGATCCTTGAGACAATAATCTCACGACAAATGAGTTTTTTCGACTACCACTCACTTCTTCGTGAGTGACCGTCAATATGCTCTCAGAAAAGGTTACTCTGTTGCTCCTCTGTTGATAAACTTCTCCACTAAGCGGCTCCATCCGCTTAGTGGAGAAGTGTAATCTGACATTTACTTATCCAAGAGACGAAATACCAGCTTCTCTAAGCTACATCAATCACAAGCTAAGAGCTATATCAGCCTGGGGTAAGGAAGATAACATTTTCTCTTGAGAAAACACCAATGATTATGGTCTCTAGGCGCCATGATGGTACTGTCAGAACAGTAAGTATGAATGGGAGAGCGTTGTTACCCGGGGACGATGTTGATATCCTTGGAGTGAAATTTGACTCCAAACTGACCATGAAGAACCATGTTGTAAATCTTGCAAACAAGGTAGCAGGAAGCTCATAGCACTTCGACGTATCTCGCATCTGTTTGACGGTACAGGCTGTAAGATTCTGTACTAGTCACAAGTACGCTCACACCTTGAGTATGCTCCACTTTCTTGGATTGCCTGCCCCCTATCTCATCTGCAACTGCTTGACAGAGTAGAGAACAAAGCAAGACGCCTCATCCCTCGCCTGGACCCAACCTGGATAGATCTGTCATTTCAGCAGAGCCTTCATCACCAGAGGGATGCAGGCGGTCTTACTGTTATGTATAAGGCCAATATTTTCAAAGTGCCACACTTGGCTCCACTCCGAGGACAACGAAAAGTGAGTTTCTACACACCCAGACGTGCAGCAAGCAGCAACTTCACTATGTATCCTTCTCCAGAACATTTATTCATTTATTCCTAGGATGACTCGAGTCTGGAACATTTTCATAGAGCATAATGACATCAGTGAAATAAAGTTAAATGATGAAATGAAATTGCTGACCCACAGATGGCTCCAACTTTATCCTGTTCCCTACGTCTATGTCTCATAACAATAAAAAAGGTTTTTAAATGAGCTGATGGAGGTAACAGCTCTTAGCTTGTAAATAATGTAAGGAATCCTTAACCTAACCTTGTAAAGCCCTGTGTTAAAAGAGAGAGAGAGAGAGCAGCAGCAGCAGTGCAGCAGCATGCTCACTAGGTGGCTATGTGGCTTATACAAGACCACAGAGCTATGCTCCAACAACTGTCTCAAGGTCAAGCACTTTACCCATCAACCCAAGCTGAACACAATCATGGGAAACCAGACGATCAGTATTCTGTCTGACAACACAAGAGGCTTCATTACTAATGTTGAGAAGCTCACGCACAGTTTGTGAAAACGAAACGTCCCAACATGATAGTGTTGTTGAAACATTTTTCGACGAAGGGACTTCGGATTTTTTTCTAGAAATGTTGGCTCCACCTCATGGATGAGGAGAGATGGGCATTCTGGTGCGAAACTCTATCGAAAGCCTTACTAATACAAAGTAGAATTTGTCACAGTTGCTTTTCGCTGATGAATCGGTTCTTATGGGGGATTCTTAAGAGAAGTTTCTTATGTTTGTGTAGGAATATGGACGGGCATAAAAAAAATTAAAAGAGTACAATAGAAAGAACAAGGTGATGTGAATGACGAAGACTCCAGGGGATGAATGATCGGGTATCGGAATGGAAGCAGGAATTTGGGAGTGGCATGTCAGCCAAAGAGATGTGTGAAGACTCTTATCACTACTGGCATAGACAACAAGAATATACAATTGCATAAGGCTAGAAAAAGATACATTATTCATTTAAAACATCCATATAACAAATTAAATTTAGAAGATGAGATAACACTCCCTGCTTATGTAACTTCAAATAGGTATTCGCACATACACATGACTCACGTTGCCATCAGTAATGCTGCCGGTGACCACTGGTGAAACGAATCCAGGTATAGTTGCCACTGTATTGCTGAGGCCCAAGAGGGAGCTTGCTAAGTTAGGGGAGAGGTCCTGATGGGAGGACATAAATCCGCTGTAGACGGCCCCGTTGAGCCCGACAGCCACACACAATACTCCCATAGCCAGAGCCCCGTCGCAGTTGACGAAACACATGGCAATGAGACCAAGCATTGGCCCGAATACACCTGAGGAAACGTCTATAGATAAGAATACAAGCAATGAGGAGCACAGCAACAAGCCTACAGGCCCATGTAGGCAGGTGCAACTCTCACACACCTACTCATTTATTGTCCAACCTATATTTAAATGGCACCCTAGGTCCCCACTTCAGTAACTCTACACGAGAATTTGTTCTACCCATCATCCACAGTTCTAATGCGAAACCATTGCATTTCTATATTCTTTCAAAATCTAAATTTCTCAAACTTGAACCCATTGCTGCTTGTCCTGTCTTGGTTAGACACTCATCTTAAGATTATAGGAATGAAGGAACACTGCAGAAGGCCTACTGGCCCATACAAGGCAGATCTTTATCATAACCACCTTTTCGCAAAGCTACCCAAGAATTTACTCCCGTAACCACGACACCATTAAAACCCAGCCCCTCACGCTCATATATTTGTCCAATCACTTCTTAAAGCTACCCAGGGTCCTAACCTTCATTCTGACGAGGACATTAGAGCACCCCATTTATCGGTTTTCAAACCATTTGTCACACTCCAGGAAGATTTGAATAGTGATGTAGTGGTCGGAGAAGTGGCAGATGCGGTTTAATATAGACAAATGTAAAGTTCTGAACATTTGACAAATAAATGACCATGATACATATAAACAAAATAATGGAAATATAAACACAAATGCAGTATAATGTGATCCTTTATTGACAACGTTTCACCCACACAGTGGGCTTTTTCAAGTCACACACGGATCTACCTGGGGTTGGAAGGTACGAGAGTATTTATAGTCAGAATGTTGAGGTCAGGTGGAGAATGCTGCATCTGATGATCTACCGGGTGGGGTTATAGAGTCTTGGGTAGCTTGGCAGGGGTATTGGACAAGTTGTGAGTAGACCTTCTGCAGTGTTCTATGTTCTTATGTGGGATAGCGATGAAGAAGTTTCTTGGCGAGTGGTTCAGCTATGTTATAGAAGCCATTGTTCTGGTTGAAATTGTTGGTTGCAGAGATGAGCGATGATTCCAGGATTCTTCTGTATTGAGTGTTGTCTTCTGTGGCTATAAGTCTTGAGTTTCTGTAGTTAATTAAATGGTTGTGTGAATTGCGATGTTGTACACAGGCATTCCTTGTATCGTCAGTCCTGCTTGCATATTGGTGTTCTGAAATACGTGTTTGGAGGTCTCTTGATGTTTCGCCCACATATAATTGTTGCAGTCATTACAAGGGATTTTGTATACCCCTGCAGAGGATGGAGGCTTGTCCTGTCTACTACTGGTGATGTCCTTGATGGTCGTGGTTGTGGAGGTAGATACTTGGAATGATGTTTTCGCAAAGATGTTGGAAACATGTTTGGCAATGGAGTTGGTTGGGAGGACTATGTATCTCTTCTCGGCAGTGTCTTCTCTGGGTGTGTTGAAGAATCTGCAGCAATGAGTTCCTTGAGGAAGAATGCACTATAATTGAACAAGTATTTTCTAAACTCCACTATCCTCGTCACTTCATCAGAGACTGCAGACGGCGGGCATTAAACATCTTCAACACACCCAGAGAAGACACTGCCGAGAAGAGATACATAGTCCTCCCAACCAACTCCATTGCCAAACATGTTTCCAACATCTTTGCGAAAACATCATTCCAAGTATCTACCTCCACAACCACGACCATCAAGGACATCACCAGTAGTAGACAGGACAAGCCTCCATCCTCTGCAGGGGTATACATAATCCCTTGTGTGATGAATGGTTTGAAAAACCGACAAGTTGAAGATTGAGACACTTATGCAGCATATGGGAATGCTGCATAAGTGTCTCAATCTTCAACATAATCCCTTGTAATGACTGCAACAAATTATATGTGGGCGAAACATCAAGAGACCTCCAAACACGTATTTCAGAACACCAATATGCAAGCAGGACTGACGATACAAGGAATGCCTGTGTACAACATCGCAATTCACACAACCATTTAATTAACTACAGAAACTCAAGACTTATAGCCACAGAAGACAACACTCAATACAGAAGAATCCTGGAATCATCGCTCATCTCTGCAACCAACAATTTCAACCAGAACAATGGCTTCTATAACATAGCTGAACCACTCGCCAAGAAACTTCTTCATCGCTATCCCACATAAGAACATAGAACACTGCAGAAGGTCTACTCACAACTTGTCCAATACCCCTGCCAAGCTACCCAAGACTCTATAACCCCACCCGGTAGATCATCAGATGCAGCATTCTCCACCTGACCTCAACATTCTGAACATGCCTATAAATACTCTCGTACCTTCCAACCCCAGGTAGATCCGTGTGTGACTTGAAAAAGCCCACTGTGTGGGTGAAACGTTGTCAATAAAGGATCACATTATACTGCATTTGTGTTTATATTTCCATTGTGTCGGTATTTTATACCATTTATTTCCAAACAAAATAATGTTGCTCTTAATATTACTGATTGCGAAAAGGATTTTGGAGTCCTGGTTAGCAGTAATCTAAAACCAAGAGAACAGTGCATAAGTGGTCGCAATAAAGTGAACAGAATTCTTGGCTTCATATCAAGAAGCATAAATAGTAGGAGTCCTCAGGTTGCTCCTCAAGTCTATATATCTTTGGTTCGGCCTCCAGGCTGAGGGACTAATTACCTCAAACTCCTCCTCTCCTTATACCTTCCTGCTTTGTATGAGATTGATGAAGCCACTGTGTGGTGAAACGTTTCTTCAATAAAGATTCCCATATGTTGCATAAGTGTCTCAATTCTTCAACAACATGAGAGGTAATGGTAGCAATCCTATTATCTTTCTCAGTGCTGGAGGAGGCAACGATATTGGCAGACGTAGGATTGAGGACCTGATTAGCAGGTATAGGTCAGCAATAGACATATTTAGGAAGAAGGATGGGAACCCTGTGATATGTGGTATTTTGCCAAGGAGAGGAGGTGGAAATGAATGGTTGTCTAGGGCAGATGGTGTCAATTGCTGGCTGGACAAACACTACAAGAAAAATGCAGTAACATTCATTGACAAGTGGGGCCTCTTCTTTGGTAAAAATTGCATGTATACCAGGGGTGGGGTTCACTTATCTAGGTCTGGGGTGGGGGCACTGGCCACTGCAGTGAAGGGCTTTAAACTAGAAATAGTTAGTGGTATGGGTTTTGGGGGGAAAACAGTGAAGTCCTAGTGTAGTAATACTGTGAGTTTTAGGGGAACAAATAACAGGCAGAATCAGGTGGATATTAGAAAGCCAGTGGCACTAGGTGACAAAGACAGTAATAAGTATAGTGCAAAAACAGAAATGAGCAAGAAGGGTAAAGAGAAAGGAGGGTCTTTAAACTTATTTTAGACTAATAGTCGTAGTGCTAGGAATAAGATGAATGAGTTGAGGTTTGTTGCTAGTGCAGGTAACATTGATGTTACCTGTGGAATGTCACATTCAGGGTTTTAAATTGTTCCAAGAAGACAGAAGTATCGGGAAAGAGGGCAGGGTGGCAATGTATGTCCGACAACGCTTGAACTGTTGCATAAAAAAATGCATACAGAGTCTGTCTGGATAGAATTTTCAGAAGAGCATGAAAATTGATTTTACGTGTGATATAACACCCCCCTAAACTTAGATAGGGAACAAGGGAGACTAATTTGGGAGGAAACTGTTAAGGCCACAAGGCATGATAATGTAGTAACTCTAGAGGAATTTAACTTTAGTCAGATTAATTGGAATTTTTTTACTGGGAATTTGAAATATAACGACTATTTAGAAGTAGTTCAGGGGCCTATAAATCACACCCAAAATTAATTTGCCACGACCCTCGAGAAACTATAGCCGAACAGATTCTGTGTGCTATACTTGTCTAACACAAGAGTTTAAATCATCTCTGACCTACATCGCCACTCCATCACCCTTCCTGTTGATCCGATCGGTGTGGAATAGTTTATAACCTAGTATGTGGCATTCTGAAGGTATTTCTCTATTTTTTAGGTTGAATCAGGTGACCGTTTGGCAATAATTTCTATATTACCTGCACACATGAAAGTAATCTTAGCTAATTCATCTTATTTCTTAGACTCCTAGTATTAGTATAGTAAACCTTAAGGTAGCTAGTCACTCTGCCCTCTATTTTGAATATTGTCTATTAAACATATCTCTGAGGTATCCTGGTAATATCTGCTGTTTTCAACCCATGTACTGCTGCTTGATTGTTTTTCACATACACCCATACCCCCTAGACAAGTCAGAAATGGCCCCCTCGATCAAGTTGGCTAATGCAATCACTCCAGCCCCTGAGAGATGTACATATATGCATATATATCACGTTTTCCATCAAATTTGTCCCAGTTATCAATGAATGGGATTGCAAATTCCTTGAAGTATCTGTCTAGCCAGCAATTTACACCAATTGCCCTGGACATCCATTCATTGCCCACTTCCCTTCTAGGAAAGATGCTACATATGATTGGGACCCCTCCCTTAGACCTAATTACATCTATGGCTGACCTGTACTTATCCAGCAGCTCTTGTCTCCTGCCCTTCCCGATATCATTTCCACCAGCTTGTTCACATTATCTGACATAATATTATCCAATCTGTTGACTATTCCATCAACACCGGTTCCTGGGAAGCGCACTCTCTGTGTAACGTTCTTCTCTCTGTTACAGAAAGCACGGTCCATATATCTTACCTGTGAGTCACTCACAACCAGAATGTTCTTGCCTTGATTAGTAGGGGAATCAGTGGTACCTTTAACCTCGCTAACCACTGAATACACTCGTCCTGGAGAAAAGAGAATCGATTTCCTACCTTCACATCTTCTCTACTATTCTTCCTTATCTTAATACTTCTACCTTTAGTAGAGACCACATTCCACTTGTACTGTAAGTGATGGTAATTCTAGGTTAATATGTGATGGCAGGGTTTATTGCTTTGAGTAGAATTCTAGATAATACCTTCGAAGGTATTCAATCAAATACTTTCTGAGACATTAACAAAAATTCTACTTAAAACAGTAAAAATTACCAT